CCGGTGTGGGGTTTAGGGTTCAGGCTTCTTGAATTATCGAGCTCGAAAGAAGGTTCCGTGGGATGGCGTACGGTAGAGGATGTTGTTATGGTTGGTACGAATTCTCAGGACCCTAAACCCTATACTTTAAACCCTAAACCCTGTACAGGTCTTAGTCGCGCTGCTCTTGGTTTTACAAGAATATGGGGCTCAACCCTTTGCCCTAACATGGAAAACCCTAAACTTTTAAACCGTACACCCCATGCCCGGAGCTTAGAACCTGGACTCAAACAAAAAGAACCAAACCTGCCCGAACTCGCAGGCGCAAGCTCCGAAAGCACCAAGAAGAAACTCCGTGACAGCGTGGTGAAGATCTCATCTTGGCGGCATGCGTGCTGACCTCAAACCGTTTGCATAGAGACCCACCAGATCGAAAAAACAAACAAAAACCGCAAAAACACATGCACCAATAAAGCAGCAGGACACCTTAATTAGATGATCCCTGTGACCCTGCACCCGCCTTAAAAGCCCCAATTGTACCTAGACCCTCCATCTAGGTACACTCTTTCTGCGGGGCCGTAGTTCCCAACCCACCCCCACCAACAAAAAGCCCCCATTCTCCATCTTCGTACACTCTTTCTACCTTGCTATTCGGGACCCTGAACCCCCAACCCTAAAGCTTCGCCGCCTTAACCCCTAAACGGTAACCCTGAACCTTCCACAAACCCGGAACCATATACAGCTATAAACCCCAAACTCGAAACCCCGACGAGAGTATCCTTGTAGGATACCTTAGCGAAGCCCTTATAAGGGGACCCTATTGTAGAACCCGCCCATACCCTTTTAATGTTTTAGAGCCCTATAATATACCCTTGAAAGAATACCTTATATCATGGAATCCTATGGTACCCTGTAAGGAGGACCCTGTTATAGAACCCTATACTACCCTTTAAAGGGGGGACCCTGTTATCGAACCCGACAGTACCCTTCAAAGGGTGCAGGGATGGTCGTGGTCCGGCAGTGTAGGGGCCTTAAGAATGGGAAAAAGGCTCTTGGTATATAGTATACTGATATATACTGCCTATACTGCAATCATGATAAGGAACCCCGACGAAATAATATTGATAATAACTTCTTGGGGTTCCCAAATACAACTTTGATATCATAAAAGTATACCCCAACATGCCCAAAATTGATAGTTATTCTGACTGATTAAACCCTAAACCCTAAACCCTAATTGATAATTATTCTGACTTCTACAGAAGCTCGCGCCTCGGACTTTGCTGCGGAACTCGCGGGCTGAGTTGCGAGGCGGCCAGGGTTTCCCGGGCGAACCCTGCGAGGCGTAGGGCGTAGGGGTTGTAATATAGGGTTTGGGGTTTAGGGTTTAGGGTTTGGGGTTTAGGGTTTAGGGTTTAGGGTTTAGGGTAATATAGGAACTACGGCTGACGATATAAGTCCTGCATTGCCCAAAACAAGGAAGATACCATAATTCCCATAGTTTAGGGTTCTTAAAGTAGTGCAGGATTTATACCATCAACAGTAGGGTCTAGGGTTCTTTTTAACGGCACGATAGGGTTCTAGAATAGGATTCCATTTCAGGGTTTGGGGTTTGGGGTCTACTTAAAAGGTTCAAGGGACTTGGTAACCACAGGGTTAAAGGAAGTGAGGTAACTATACGTATTTATAACTACGTACAACCAAAATAATGCATTCATAACTGTACCTACCAAGCCTCATGATCCTCCAAGTAAGGGGTTTTGCAATTTAGGGTTCTGGCTTGGTGCTTAGGGTTTGGGGGTCTGTATACGTTTTATATAGCTGCTCAATTCAGGGTCTTGGGGTTTTGTACAATATGGGGCTTATGTAATGCATGGGGGTTTCTAGAGTACAGGGATAATGTAGGGCTCATATAGGGTTTATATCTTGGCTTTGGTTGCACTTTCACTACCTCAACAGTCACCAGTCATAAGTCTATTTTCCACCGACTTTACAAGCCCTACAGTGCTAAGGTCTAGGGTCCTAGGATCGTAAATGCTAGAGCCCAGACTCTGCTCCAATTGTTTCCGGAGGCCTCAAAAGGTTGGATAAAGGTTAAGCAAAGTAGGATTACGGAGTCCTCATTACATATCAGCACTCTGATTTCGGCTTACCCCACCTACCTTCATCCCGCCCTTGGAGCCCTTCGATGTGTAGGGGGCCCGACATGAGGCTTGGGGTCATCCCGCCTTTTGCTCTCGTCTGTCCCTGACGATTTTGCTTACAGAGAATTCCTTGATGGTCAGACACGACGAGGGCCTAGCAGAACATGCGAATACAGGGCCGATACTTTTTGATATGATTACAAGAAGGTTTTGCGGTACGCTTTGAGATGACTTATGTTATAGACCAAAAGGACATGCTATGACTACTGTACTGATCCAGACCCCCATATTAACTGAGCACCTTCGGGCTTCACGGCTTTGGTTGCATTTCTTAAGGACGGGTCACCTTGGCTGCATGGCATTAAGGGGTTTCTATGTAGGTATTTTAAGGCCTAAATATATATTATATAGGCACATGGAGCCTCAGTCAGAGACCTTTGCCCAATACTGACGCCATTGGGTTTTCGCGGCCTAGATACTACGCCCAGAGCTAGAAGGCACAAGCTACCACAGGTGCACCCATTACCGCCACTCCCCGTGACGCCCTACATCCGAGCACACCCTCATCCCGGAAACCAAGCGAGATCGAAACAATCAATTCGAAGGGCGCTGAAATCAAGCTGGCGGGCCGCTTTGAGGCATTTTGTGGGCTATAGGAGGTGTGAGCATGTCGTGGTACTGCTGGGAGGCTGGGATGGTTTGCATAGGGGATAGCACCGTTATATGACCGATGTACTACAGACTGCAGAAAGGCTTCAGGCGCGGCGAAACTCCAGGAAAGCCCAAAAGGGAATGAGATTACGTATGGAACAGTCGTGTGTGGGTTTTTCGGATTTAGAGTATGCAGACTGGCTGGGCACAATTGAACCCCTATGTAGGGGCCTGATCAAGAAGCTCCAGATATTCTAGAAGCAATATGGATCCCAGATTCGCAAAACAGGAATCTAACGAAACAAAGCCCCACAGCCGCAGCATCGAACTTGTTTTTTTTGCCTGGCCCCGGTCACTCTTGCAAGCGAAGGAAACAACTTTGTGCGTTCAAAATTTCCACAAAAGCCGCAGATCCTGCGACAAACATTTCTAGAAAGGCGATCGCCCCGACAGCAGCCTCTGTGACTCGATATGGGGTTGCTGTACAAGAGGGCCGCTCATATGCAGACATTTTATCAAGTCAAGTACTAGACGACCACCAGGTCCTGCACCCTAGACCCAGACCCCCACTGCATGTAGGGGACCCAACTTAAGGAAGACAAGCTGAACAAACTATAAGCATTTGATCCAACATCATAACATAGTTCATGCCCCCTCGGATTTGTGCATTTTCTAAAAACAATGCTTCTCAAGCAACAAAAACTTAAGGCCCAGAGCAAAACAACACATATGGCCAAACCTTAAGGCTCCAAGCGGTCTTTATTTGTTTATGGATTTTGGTGCCCCAAAAAAGGGCCCTAAAGTCCTACAATAGGGAATACGTGGACCCTTTGGGAAACCCTAAACCCTAAACCTTGTGAAGAATGCAATGGGGAGATCCGGACTCCCGACAGCACTCAAGAGATCTCAACTTTGGGATCAGAATAAGGTTTAGGGGTTGCCTGGGGTTCAGGGATTTGGCCTTCGGATTTGGGGCTTTTGAATAAGCCACCTTATCGTTGGGACCTTGGAATAAAGGGATAAGGTAAGCAGAAAAGGGTGCTGAAACACACAAAGCCCGGTATACTGCAATTTAGGATCCAGGTACTCTGAAACAACCTCTAACACTCTAATGATGCTACAAACCTCTAAGTCCCCAGAGAGCCTTGAACCCTAACCCCTAAAATATCCTAGACCCCTTAAGCCCTAAGCCCCTGTAGGACACTTATAGATCCCTTCATAGGAACCCCGTAAAGCCATTTGTTGAACTCTTTCAAAAGAACCCAGTTCAACCCGGCGATGCGAGATAAACAACCACTATATGTAGGCGGGTGTATCTATTATTTTACAAAACTTGTATTATCCAAGTTTTGCGCGGGCTACATCGCGCTCTTGCAACAGAAGGAGAAGGCGCAACTCGCTTTCGACCAGTGGCAGCGGAGCTTGTGGGACCGTTTGATGTAGGAGCGTCAGGGGGAGGCATTGTCGGAGCAGGGTTTGCAGGACCAAAAGATGTCGGCTTGCTGGCGGGAGGGGGTAGAATGGTCGGCGGTGCTGGTGGCGCTGGTGGTGGCACCGATTGTCCGGCCCGCCGGATTTCAGTGGGTGTCGCGGATGAAGACACTGCTCGAGAGGCTGCGGCGGGTCCACGGTCCTGCGAGCTGCGATAATTTCCGTGACTCCGACGCAGCTTAAACCAAAGCAGGATTTGACGCTACGATAAGACACAGGCCTAGAAGCCAACAGCACAAAAGCTGGCCTTCAGGCTGGAAGCACCGGCACTGAGGCCGATGGCCTGCTCCCACTTCGCCGTCACCTCGAGCTCTGCCTTTTGCAGAGCTGTGCTTCTTCTGCTGCGTGTTTTTCGCGAAGCTTGTCCAACTTGGCCTCTGTCTTGTGCCGGCGCTCCTGCAGAAGCCGCTCCCTTTCTGCATTCTGCTTGGCTTGGAATGTGGTGCAACCATGTGCTTGGTAACGCACCAACGTAGGGAACCAGGGCAAATGGTTCCTCTGATAGTACGACGCATCTTCGCCCAACCCACAGCCCTGATGACCATGTTTCTTGTTGGTTCCCAAGCAAAACCCGCACCGTGTCATACGATGCCAAAGATCATGACATCGAGCACATACACAGGTAGGAGTGTCCCTTCCACTGTGCGGCACTCTTCCTCAGCCTCCGGGCCGGCGTTCGTCCACTCGGTCCGTTGTGTGCCTGGCATTCTGGAATGCTCCATGTCTACGCACCAGCTAACGGTGCAGGGAAACCACAACAACTGCCGTTGCAGAGGCTAAGCTGCTGAAAAACCAATGCACGTGCAGAGCATTTCTGCCGCAGCGACTCACAGTCTCGTCCCAGCTAGCTTGCTCCCACTGCGCTCTGACGGTACTCGCAGTCCGGACGGTGCCCTGAGCAGCTGGTCACAGACCTCACAGGCCCCGGACCGCTCCCGCTTTGCCTTTGGCACCGCCTTCGACGAAACCTTAATTCGGTGCTGCCTCAGGCGCGACGTCCGGCACGGCCTTAGGCATGACCTTCCGCTCCATCTTGGGCAGGACCTTCGGCGCCGCCTTTTGGGCGGGACCTTCGGCGGCGCATTGGGCGAGACCTTAGGCGCCGCCTTAGATGGAACCTTTGACACGGGCGGGACCATCAGCTCACCAGCCTTCTCGTCCACGGCTGCAGCGGTGTCTGCTTCTGGATGCTCCCCTGTTTGTGTGGAGTCCGTCGAGCTGTCAGATGATGCGTCATCTGACTCGCTCGACGAACTCGACACATGGCCATGCGGCTCTCCGCCAGCATTCTGAATGCTGTTCTGGAGCGTCCTCGCCTGCTCACGGTGCTTTGCCCTTCCCACGTGGTTTTTGCAACCTCTTCCTTGCTTGCCCCACAGCAAACTCAGCCTCGGCAAGGTGGGCCATGACCTTGCCGAGCTTGAGTTGCAGCTTCTCCAGGTTAACCATGGGAGGCCAGAAAGCAGCGAGAAGTGATGGAGTTTCCGGCAGGAAAAACTAACTCAAGAGCCAACATCCGGGCGAAGTGATATGGACACAACCTGTGTGCAAAATAGCTGCACAACATATCGCAAACCTTTTCAGCGGAATGCCACCAAACATGCGAGACGTGCTCATCACCATCTTCTTTGGCAGCTGTCCCTTCGGATCGTTGCGTACCTTCCGCATGAGGAAGGGGAGAAGGGCTTTGAAAGAATCTTCAGACCACAGGAGGGGTCCTCGATGAGGACCGCCTCCGCCAGCTGCTGCGCAGCGAGCTGCTGCGCAGCCAGCTGCTGTGCAGCCAGCTGCTGCGCAGCCAGTTGCTGCGCAGCCAGCTGCTGCGCAGCGAGCTGCTGCGCCGCAGCAACGGCACGGCGGTGCCGTGCGGCGGCCAGGACAAAAATGCTTAGGCCTATATAGGCCATAAAGCATCAAAGTACACGTGCGGGAGTCGACCGGTGCCAGATAAGAATGATAGGTATTATACGAACGCCCAATGAGGATTATAAGGATGCTCACGGTGATAAGGATGATAAGAATTAGGAGAAATGATAAGGATGATAAGGATTAGGAGGGATGGCAAGGATGATGAGGATGATAAGGATTAGGATGAGGAGGGATGATAAGGATGAAAAGGATTGGGACGGAGATAAGGTTGATAAGGATTAAGAGGGATGACGAGGATAATTAGGATGAGAAGGATTGGGAGGGATGATAAGGATGATAAGGACTAGGAGGGATGACAAGGATGATAAGGATTAGGAGGGATGGCAAGGATGATAAGGATGATAAGGATTAGGAGGGAAGATAAGGATGATAGGCATTAGGAGGGATGGCGAGGATGATAAGGATTAGCGCCCAGGATAATAAGGAAATTCACAATGTTTAATTCCCGACCCGAATTAGACAATGAAAACAAGTAAATAGTTCAAACCCGAGGGAGGGGGTCCGGAGGGGGTCCACGGAGAGATCCTCAGGATTTAACTTATCTAAATTATTCAAACTCTTTAATTTATTCAATTCCCAGCCACGACTACATAACTTGAATATTTTAAAATTTTAGGGGTGAGGTTCCCGGACCCTGGGACCCCGGAATAAAATCATTTCAACATTTTAAATCGGATGCTCCCCCAATTATGTAATTCCGGGCGCTGTACCCCCAGCCCACAACAACCTAGACCCCAAACCCTCATAGCCCTCATAGAACCCTACCTATAGAATACTACAGAACTCTTACAAAAGAAACTTTTGTGAACGATTCCTACAACAAAACACTACAAATCCGTTTTAGAGGAATGCTAATCCCTTAACCCCTCTGTGCACACAGGCTGGCTGCTCAAGCGAGTCCGAAGCTGGGAGCGTCCGCAGGGTGCAGGGTACAACCACTTTAGTTTAAAGGGATTGCGCTAGTGTCTTTGCTTAAAACTCCTTTTCCTTCTAGGGTAGGGTTGAGGGTTTGGGCTTCTAGAGTTTAGGGTTTGGGGCTGTTAGGGCTTTAAGGTTTCTTCATAGGTCTTTACGCTTTGGCTTTAAGGAAAAATTGTGCGATCAAGGCACCTATGGAAGTATGGTTAAGAAGGGTCCCGTTTTAAGGGGTCACACTACCCAGGCGTTTCTTGCCAGATGATCGAAGGACCCCCCGTTAGGGACGGTAGTTGGATGCTTATGATTATGGCTGTCCTGAAGGGCCCAAGCCCTAAACAGCCTTGAAACCTAAATCCAAAAAAGCTGACCAACCTGAACCCCCGAAACTCACAACAACCCCAAACATTCCTGCTACATGGGGCCTGGGGCTGTTTGCCGATTCCCGAAGAATCTCCCAACTTGCCTGGCTTAAACTAGTTGCATTCCGGAAACGCTTTTCAAAGGCGCGCTCACTGTCGCAGCTTTCCGGCCATACTGCGGACTACGAATCTGAGCCTCCTGTCATGCTGTAAGGCTCTTTTTGAAGCAAGGCTCTGTCAACAGCTTGAGAAATTCTATAAGCCCCAAACCGTCCAGCCGTAAACCCTAAACTATACACCACCCGAATCCTGGAACCCTAAGCCACAAACCATAAACCCTTTATATCCCTTCATGGTATCTTTGAGATCAGAACCGCTATAGATCACTTGGAACCTTGTCATTCATGTAATCCCCTACATCCACACAAACAGAGCCTCGACGCGCAGCCCTAAACCGTAAACCCTAAACCCTTCTTCTCACTGACTCCATGGTCCGCGGCCTCCAGCCGTGTCACACGAACAATAATTAGAATAGGGTTTTGGGGTATATTTTACTATAGTTACAATAAGAAACGCCCGAAATAGTGTAGGTAACTATTTCGGCCCCTATATTAACCTTAAAAGTTTATAGGGCTTTAGGTGTAGCGACGTACCCTAAGGAAAGCATTCCGGTGGCGGGCTCTAGAAGGCTGTAGGGATTCTACAAGTAGAGTGTAAGCCCCATGTCCCATATACTCTGCACCTGAAGTCATTGTCTTGTTCGGGGTGTACGTTTTCAAACAACAGCAATCCCGAAATTCGTGGATTCAGTTTCCCGTGCTTTGGGCCTAAGGAATCGGAACAATTTGTACTACTACGGTTGATGATGTACATCCTTGATTACCTTAATAATCCTTGAGGACCCTAAACAATGGGAATTATGGTAGATTCCTTATTATGGGTAAAGCAGGATTTACATGATCAACCGTATCCCCTATAGTCCCTGTATATCCACACCTCGCAACGTACCCCCCAAAGCCGAATCAAAGGCCCTCATCAATCGGGACCCAAAAAGGACATTACTTATATTTTGTTTTTGCTCTTTTGTTACACTTACTTTACAATCATGCCAACTACCTGTACAAATTTTTGCGCTTTTCATATTTACACATGTTTTAGTCTTTGGCTATTTGACTGCTATCCAAAGTGAACAGAGCCAGGGCGTCATAAACTTACAACCAAAGTGGCACTCATGGTGCAAATCAGCCCACAATCCGCAATTGTTACTCAAAACAACTATATTATACTGTACTATACTATACTATGCTATACTATACTATACTATACTATACTGTACTATACTATAATATGCTATACTATACTATAGTACTATACTATACTATACCATACCATACTATACTATACTAACTTTACTTTACTATACTATACTGTTCTTTACTATGCCATTCTACACTCTACTATACTACACTATACTATACTACTAGACCATGCCAGACCAAATCATACCATACACTACTGTACTATACTTTACTATACTATATAATACTGTACTACATGTACTATACTATACAATATGCGCTATACTACACTATACTATACTAGACTGTACTTTACTTTGCTATACAGCCAAAACCCAATGCCCTGCGCTAATTATGGAAACCCTGTTCGTTGCTGACGGCCCCCCCTCCCCATATTGAGACCTTTAGACCCCTGAAAGAACTCCTACAGACCGCCTTTAGGAATCCTACATAGAAGCCAGTGTTTTAATCAGCATCTGAAAGCCCCCAACCCCAAACCCCGGCACTAGGTGCCAGGCATATAGGATGGCAGATCCTCTCAAACAATGATGTCTGCATCCCGCCCTGCTGCGGCCACCGTCAGGCAAGCCACCTGCCACAGGAACTTCGCAGAATCGAAGGCGGAGGGTTGAGGGTTTAGGGCTTAAGCTTTAAGGTTTAGGGCTTCAAGTTTAGGGTTTATATAGGGTCTTGGGCTTTAGACTAGAGGTCTAGGGTTTTGGGGTCTTGGAAGAATCCCTCTCTGTGCCGCCTACTATAGGAATATTCAAACCACAGGCTTCAAAGCCTAAACTCTGCACCCTACCCCCCAGCTACACGCTGAGACTTTTCGGGGGCGAATTCTCCCAGCCAAACCCACGGGGAATCTGGAGTTCATTGAGATTTCGGCAGGTTTAGGGTTTAGGGTTTTGGGTTGAGGCTTTAGGGTTTAGGGTGAGGTTTATAATAGGGTATAAGGTCGAGTGCTGTCGAAGCTTTACAGCGCTCCCGTTGGATCCTGCAACATCCCCAATGTCGTGTTGGGATCCTTTTGGCAAAATGCGTTCGGATGTATACTGTAAACCCCTAAGGGTCCATGTAATTACCTAAGTAGTATCTACATTGGCCCAAAAGTACCTATATAGGGACTACATTAAGATGGACCCTTAGGGAAGTTAGCCCCAAAGGCGATACTGGCTATCCGGTATCATAAATGCTAACTAGGCAGCTAGGAAAGTCCATTGAGAGCTGTGCTTTATGACGCGTGGCTGGTGGTCTAGACCCCCCTTTGCCGCAAGGGTTTTAGGGTGTGGTGTTCTAGGGCATAGGCCCTAGATCCTTGTAGACAAATATGCGCTGAACCATGTGACTCCCAGCAAACGACTGACAACCCTTATCCTTCAAGGTTCGGAGGGCACCTTAGAGTAAGGTCATGCTTTCCAGCAATGTCACAGTTGCTTATAGCCTCAAGTGCAGTGCGTAGGGGCTGAGGGTTTAGAGGTCCAGGGAGGCTTGCAAAAACGATTCTGCTTGCAGAGCCGGCTTTCGGCTTTAGGGGTAGTGCGGGCTTCAGTCAGCCAGTGAATGACTCTTGCGAAACAGGGCCCTCTGAGGCTCAAAAAGACATATAATTTCAAGGTTTTGTGCTCTAAATCCGGGATGTCGCCAACCCGCCGAATGTAGCAACCTGAATCATCACACTAGAATCAGCATGCTCGAGTTGTGATGAGATTCTAAGGCAACGATATTCAATAATAGTCATTGCTGACACCAAGTAGAACAACTATGTTCAAAAAATCCGACCCTGAAGCATGAATGTCAGGAATCAGGCCTCCTCCTGCTTGTCATCGTCTATCACCTGAGAGCTTATCGATTCACTCTGTGACATATCTGTGGACTCGTGAACCCATGCTGCATGCACACAAAGATAAACATGAAATAGACATGCTCGTGTGAACTCAGGGGCATGAAGCACAATGTACAGAGGCTCAATCAGCAACCATGGCTGATCGCGATGAAAAATCAACACGAGCTCTTCGTATGGGCGTGCCCGAACTGTTCGGTCGGTCAGCTTCACCCCAAGCCGTGCCCCAAACTCCTGGACTCTAAAGCATAGTTGCCTAGGCTTCTTTTTATGCTCAAAACAAAACAACCCCGGAGAATGTTCAGGCTTCCA